GGAGTACAAAGGGTTCTGACAATTAACACATTTGATTTTGCTCACTTTTGAGCCAAAAACCATGACTCATGTTACTAAAAGTTAGCTTCTATTGGGAGGACAGGGTCCATCTCCAACACCAAAGAAATCGCTGTTCTGGAGAGGAGTATGCTTTGGATATTTCAATCCAACAGAGGTAAACCTTTGAAGGGCTCTAGTTCTGGAGTTACTTTTTGAACCACTGGTATTTTTAGCCTATACTCTTGTTTTAACTCTGGCCTCGGAAAACATGCAGAACCCAAGGACAAAGCATGATGATTTCTTATCATCCATGTTTTATTAATATGTCTCAGACCTTCATGGAACAAGATAGCCTGTTAAGAACCACGTAGAATCCAGACATGGTAGTGCACGCCTTTAATCCCAGTACTCAAGAGACAGACACAGAAGCAGGCAGATTTCTGCGAGTTTGAGGCCAGTCTGCCTACATATCAAGTTGCAGGCCAGCTAGGAATCCATAGTGAGATGAGAGAGAGAGAGAGAGAGAGAGAGAGAGAGAGAGAGAGAGAGAGAGAGAAAGTTCAAATTTTCATTGCCTGGTCCCCTGAAGCCATTTTGCTAAATTTGTTCACGGGCTTTTCAGAAGGTCGATATTTCAATCATGGAATTCCATCTTTCTTTAATAACTCAACAAACTTCTACACAAAACACAGCTATATCCAGACTAAATATACTCTTATATTTAAAGAGCCCAGTTAATAGTTTCTAGGGTGATAATTCACTCAGACAGGCGACATTTCACTGGGACACTCAGCAAATAATTATAGCTACCAGGTTATATGAGGCCCCGTGTGTTGATGTATATAAACACACTTCCATCTTTGAAGACATGCACATTAGGGAGTCTGCCCTCAGGACATGCTCCACAGAGAGAATCCAGGTTACTACACTGGGGCCCATGGACTCTGCAGGCCATCTCATCCTACCTCTCCAAGCAGTGAAGGCCAAGAGACACACTCCACAGCCACTAGGCCTCTCCCCTCTCCTTCCTCCAGTCTTTTGCCTCTTGACTGGCTAATTATTTATGGCTTCTTCCTCTACTCCCTTCATCCTCAAAAACCTTGACCTCTTGCTCCTCAGAAACAGCTCCATTCTTTAAACTGCATGGTCTCCTTGGGAAACTCCTAACTTTAAGTATTTCAAGGGCGTACACTCAGCCTCGAACTTTTAATCCCAACACTCAGGAGGGAGAGGCAGGCGTGTCTCTGTGAATTTAAGGCCAGCCTAGAACACTAAGACGAGTCCGAATTAGTAACTTACAAAATGAGCTCCAGGACAGGCAAGGCCATTACACAGAGAAACCCTGTCTTGGAAAAGGAAATAATCAATTAATTAAGGTATGCCCTCTTCAAATGATGTTACTATTCCTTACATTTCTCAAATTCATTCTGACCAAGACAGAAGACCTGACCTTACCACCAGAGCCGATGTCTGCCCCAGTTCCCTGTTGCAGTTCAGGATGCCCTCAGGCCCACTGTGAAGGAACTGTCCTGAGAAGTGCTCCATTCCTTTTTCTCAACATCCTCATCCACCACCCACACACAGATGCATGTCCCGCCTTTCCATCATCATCAACACCATCTCAATTCAAGCGCTGATTCTTTCCTCCCGAACATCCCAAAGTTTCTCTGTGTGGTTTCTTAGACCCTCTCCAATGGGCCTTAAATGACGCTACTACATTATTTTTTGGATGGAGGGTGTATATGCTCTGGAACTAGGTGGTCTGTTTTCAAACTCCAGCTCTATCACTTATTTCATTGGCACTGGCCACAGTACCCAACCTCACTGTCCCTTTAGGCATCACTGTGTCAAAGGATGGCAGTATCCCTTCCTTCATGGAATTGCGGGGACATGTGAATTTTATAGTCACAGAACACCTAGAAAAGCATCTGGCCCAGGGGGTGATGCTCTGTCCATGTCTGCCGTTGTCTGCAATCAGCATGCATCCAGCCATGCCATCTCTGTCCCAGAGCCCCTCTAAGGGTCTCAAGGCAGGCCAGGGTGACTGCAGGTTCCTCACTCTGGCATTCAGTCTGTCCCCAACTGACCTCTCGGTGTCATATTCCACACCTCCCCCATGTGACCTGTACATACACCAGGCAAAGGGAAGGACTTACTACATGCCCTGAACACGCTTCCTGCGTCTCCCTCCTGCTCCTCACTTTTCTTGCCTCTCACACCCATATCCAAAAAGAAAACCCGTCCACCCTTCAGGCCAATCTTAACATCCCCACGGAGCCTTTTTTTTTTTTTTTTTTTTTTTTTTTAGGTTTTTTGAGACAGGGTTTCTCTGTGTAGCTTTGCGCCTTTCCTGGAACTCACTCTGTAGCCCAGGCTGGCCTTGAACTCGCAGAGATCCACCTGCCTCTGCCTCCCGAGTGCTGGGATTAAAGGCGTGTGCCACCACCGCCCGGCTTCCCACAGAGCCTTTTATGAGCATGTTCTCTGGACATGTGTCCACCTTTCGCAAGTACTTCCTAGTACAGAGGTGAGGTTTCTCCCACGGTAGGCAGCTTTGTTCTCTTTCACTGCAGTCCTCTTAGTCATCCACCTCACAGGTGTGGAGCGCCTTGAAACCGTGAGAGAAACATCTATGTTCATCATGTCACTCTCTGGACCGTCAAGGACAGTGTGATATGCTGGGATATTGAAAAGACGGATGTGTGCAGGTAATCAGGACCATAATCACTACCGTGGCATGGTATGGCACACCACACTAGGGGAAGTACATGCCATGTCCAAGTTGAGTATCATTTCTTGTCTCACTCTATAGCCCAAGCTGGCTTGGAAGTCACTATATAACTCGGACTCACCTCCAACTCCAAGCAATCCTCCTGCCTCAGTCCCTAAAGTGATTTACATGTATAAGCCACCACACCCAGCTTTCCCCCCCACCCTTGAGAAAGGATTTCACTATGTAGCTCTAACTGGTCTGGAACTCTCTGTGTAGACCAGGCTGCCCTCAAACTCACAGAGATCCACCCTAGCTCCCCATGTGCTAGAATACAAGGGGTGTGCCACCATGCTCAGCCTTCTGTAGCTTCAAGTTCACATCCAGACTCACAAAGTAAACCAGGTGGCCCCTCACTAAGCAAGTCTGTCCTTGGAAGACACCAGGAACACGGTGAAAAAAAAATTTATATATATATATATATACGTGTATATATATATATAATTTGTATCCTAAAGTACAAACACTAAAATCACAGAAAGCTTTTCACTATTAGAATCTTTAAAAAGCCATCGTGCACTGTGTTTAGTTGACTAACTGTAATCTTTTGTGAAGTCTACCACCTAGCAATCCCAAGGGAAGTGACTCAGATCTCAATAACTGAAGCTTGTTCATGTGCACATTAATAAACCCTAGCACTTCAGTCACTGCAGAAGTGACCGTAACAGCATACAGACACAGTCCCTACCACCCTCAGGCCCTCAGCTGACAAAAAGAAAGCCATGGCAGTGCCCAACAATAGAGTGTCCACTCAATAAACACTGATGGTGGTGACATCATCCAGGTGCCCAGGGTCAGGGAACAGGCTGCTGACAACTCTATTCTGTTGAGGAGCTGGGCTGTAATCGGACACCAGAGATCCAGACCTCTTTGCCAGGGCAGCTCTAGGCATTCGTGAACAGCAGCAGCAAAAGGCTCTTTCATTCCTACTTTGCCTTCTGCCATTCCAGAAGCACCCTCCTCCCAGCACCACTGAGAGAAATGTTCCTGAAGATAGCAGTTCCAAGACCCCCCCGGGGGAAGGAACAATGAAGGATTATTTTCTGTCAGACAAGACAGGTTTTTGATGGTCCAGAATATTCCCTCTTCAAGGCCCAGTGGCACTCCTAAATCCTGAAGCAGAATTGCCAATATTCTCTCTAACAGGACCAGTCCTAGAGAGCTCTGTATGGTTCATTGAACTACGCTCATTTGACTGCCCACTTGATTATGACGGTAACAAAGTCAAATTAAATGTCTAAATCAGGGTAGATGAGGCTGGTCTGAAATACCAGCTCTTTCAGTAAAAGAACATAAGCCAATCCTGCCTTTCTACTCCTTGCTATCTACTGCTTTCATCGAATGGAAATCATCTCTCCAATTAATGTTTTACTGTGCTTACAATATCCAAATAGCCTTTTCCTTTATATCTATGGGCGGTCACAGAACTCAGTTCTGATTTTTCACTCTCAGGTCTTAGTCCAGAGGAGCAAAATAACTGTATATATATATATATATATATATATATATATATATATATATATATATATATATATATATATATATATAGAGAGAGAGAGAGAGAGAGAGAGAGAGAGAGAGAGAGAGAGAGAGAGAGAGAGAGAGAGAGAGAGTTATAGAGTTATTTAGGCAGTCCTCTACTACTCAAAGATTAAAAAAAAAAAAAAATAGCATCAAGTTCAGGGCACCTAACTAAAATAACTCAATCACACTGGAAATCTTCCTCAGAGATGCAACTTGGATACAGCTCCGTTCAGTCCTGTGTTCCACTTTCTGAAAACAGGCTGCTCAAACAAAAACATCCTTCCATACAACAGAAGCCTTGTGAACTTCGAAGCTTAAGCACCTGTAGTACACACACTGCCCTGTATCCTGTGGGTGCTCCATAAATACCTAGTGACTGATTCACAAGCCAGTTACAGGTCTGCCGATGACAGAGTGTATGACTGCCTGGTCCCACTCTAGGGAGTGTAAGGAATCCACAATGACTGTGGGAGTAGGAAGAACTAATATCCATGAAATTCTAAAAGGACTGCAATGTTGACAGGTCCAAACTATGCCAGTTTTGTCTGCACACCTCCCCAAGCCTATGGGCCTTAAAAAAGAAAGCTAGTAATGCCTCCTGAACCCTTGGGAGAAAGTGAATAAACCTGCTTATCAAAGAACCAGCAAGCTAAACAGTTCAGAGGAGTATGGGAATTAAAAAAAAAAAAAAAAGAGGGAAACTTACTTTTCATAGACCAGCTCCTCGTCGATGGAGAAATAGTGGGTATTTATTGTGCTTTTTGGTCTATTCCTTAAAGTAGCAAAATATAATCGATCTGAAAGACAAGTTTAAAAGACAAAAATACATGAGAAGCAGAGACGTGGGGCGATCATACATGAAGGATCAATAATTGCTAGTCATCATTTAAAGACCCTTTAACACGTGGGGGTTCTTGTAGAAACACGACCTGCCAGGAAGCAACACAGCCCCCAAAGCATAACTTGCCAAGAAGCTAGACCGGGACCCAGTAGGGGGCAGAACATCTTCTCTGTTCCCTCACCCCCCGGTTGCGTGCGGGCGGGTGCAGACAAGAGCTGTGGGTACCCGCAAAACTGGAGACACAAGTTTGGTTCGAAAACCTCCAGACCTCAGCTGCAGAGAAACGGGGAGAGGCGAGCTTCTTTCCCTGCAGCTTAGCAGACTTCAAGAGGAAGGAAGCAAGGACAAGGGGGTGTGGTTGGGGGGGAGGGTGTCCTGAAAGCACAGGCCAGCCACCGAGGGGTAGAGGATTAGCAGATAGATGATTAAACCCGGCAGGATCCCCCAAGAAAGGTTTGGAGGGGGAGCCCCGGCAGAGAAGCCCGCACTGTCCGGGTACGAGGAAGCTGCAGAGGGAGCGAGGAGGCGAGAAAGAAGCCGGAAGCAGGGGGTCCTCCGGGAGCTGAGTGGCGAGAAGGGGCCCGAGCGCCAAGCAGCAGTGGCTGCGGGACACAGGGCGGAGGAGAAACCCAGGGCAAAGGCTGGGACAAAGGGGAGAGCCGAGAGGAGTTGGGGGGAGTGGCGTGGAAGGGCCAGAGGATGCCGGGCGACTGCTCCTCACCTTTCATGAACTCACAAGCCCCGATTAGTTCCCCTGTCTCCGCTGCCATCTTAAGCGAGATCTGCACGGGGGAGGGCTGGGTCGCGGCCAGCTGAGGTCACCCGCCCCCGGGGGGCTTCCCCTTACTGCCTAGGAGCCGGGAAGCTCGCGGTCCCGATCACCGAGCCCGCCTGAGGGAGAAGGCGGGCGCCCAAGGCGGAGGCGGCTGCAGGGTCAGCGCGCGGGGCGCCCCGGGGACATTCCGTGGGGAACTGAGCCCGCTGGGCGCGGGACGCACACGCCCCAGGCTGTAGCCGCTGCGGCGATCCGGACTCTGTGGCGGCGGCGGCGGCGGCGGCGGCTGCTGCTGCTGCTGCTGCTGCTCCAGCTGCAGCTCCTGCTGCTCGAGCTGCTGCTGCTGCTGCTGCTGTACCGTCTCCGCCAAGCCTGGGCAACGCACACCAGCTCGCACAGCCGGGCAAAGTCTTCCCCCGGCTCCCAAAGTGATCATGGAGGACGAGACGTTTGGCCCGGATCGTGCCCGTGGCCACTTGTGCGGCGGCAGCGGGCAGGACTCCGGTGGTGCCCGTGGGGCTGGCAGCAGCTGCTCTGACTCCTCCTTCGCCACCTCCTTTCAGCAGCAACTCTTCCTCCCTCTCCTCCTCCTCCTCCTCCTCCTCTTCTTAGGTCCGCCCCCAGACCTGCCTCCCCGCCCTCCCTCGTCCCCCTCCACTTTCACGGCTTCGCGGCCATCCCTTAAAGGGACAGCTCGGCTCCTTTCTCCGCGCCGGCCTCGGGCCCCAGTTACCAGGCGCCCCGCGGGTCACTAGGAGCCGGTTGCTAAGGCTTTGTTGCCTTTCACCAATTGCTACACAGGAAACTTGGCCCTCAGCCCCGGTGGGGGTGGGGGATGTCAGGCGGGGCCAGAAACTTATGAATGAAAAAGATGGGTAGAGAGAAGTGGACGCCTCCGAGGAAGCTGCTGCAGCCTGGCAGTCAGGGATGCTCCGTCTCCTCTACCCTTTCTGCATTTGTTAAGTCTTCTTCTACATCAGATTTCTCTTGGCCCTCTTCAAGATCTTTTTCTTCCGCTCCTCTCACTCAGTTTCTTCTAAACTCTTGTGTGCGCGCGCGTACAGACACACACACACACACTGAAAAACCTCAGACCTTCTCCATGTCCGGTCATATGCGCCAACTATCTTTCCATCAGCCCCTCTTCCCACCACCGACGGGATCTGTGTGTCTTTGTAAGCAAATGTCAAGAAAAGCGCTACATCCTAGCTCAGGAATACGTGGACTGATGCTCTCCACGCACTAGACGCTGCTCTCACTTGGGCTTTGTCCTCAAGGGAAAAAAAACATTCCCAGCCAGTTCTCCAAGTCCTGTCATTTTGGCCACAGGTGTGAGCACAAAATCATCACAGAAGCCTAAGGCTCTCGTCTCGGACTGTAGGCTATCCTGGGCGAAGTGGAGAAGAGGGAAAGGACCACTTGTCCTCAAGAGAAATAAACAGAAGGTAATTTCTTTAGTCTCAGCTGGAGTGCTGCAAGGGGTACAAAGGTTCCTCTCCAGGAGGCCCCGGACTTGTTCGGCAATGTTCGGGATCCAGTTTGAACAACTTTAGTGCTGTGCGCCTTGGGGAGGTAATTAGTGGTCAGTCCTTCCCTTACGAAAATGGCGCTACTGAGCGACTCTCAGCAGAGCATGCGCTCTGGCTGGTTTCTGCCTGGACAGGGATCTGTGCAAGCCTTTGGTTCTCCGTCGCTTGTTGACCTCTAGGGAGAGAGGGGGCGCTTGAGCGAAGAGCCAGCTGAAGTGACTGCCGCCAGGGAAACAACTCAACTCATGGCTCTTAGGCCATTAGCCTGTTCTGCTGGCTTTCCAGAAAGCTGAACAAGCGCCAAACTGTAAGGGGATACTAATTTGATACGCAGAAAAACTGTTCACAGCATCTCAGTAATTCTAACCAAACACATCGTTGGTGAGGCAGATAAAAACACAACCTATCCTTACATCCAAAAGTGAATCCCCAAACCTCATACATGGAAAGGGATCACTAAGAACAAGGCCCAACAGCTTCACTTTCACATGTGGGGAATAGAGAGAGTAGAAGAAAAAGAAAAGGATTTTAAAACTGTCCTCAAAAGTCCTGGAAAGTGGTAATGAGCCCTGAACCTTTTTGAAGTGTGTTACATGTTCTAAGAGCCACAAGGCTTAGAGTTAAGACAAAGACCTCTCAAACTCATCTTTATTCTCCCAAATCTTGGTGTTGCTATGTTGGATAATTCAAATTATTTTACTAAAAACTGTAATTGATATTTTTGTATGAAAGATATGAAAAAACAAAGTGGATCTCGACAGGCTTCACCCCTTTGTCTAGAAAGCTAAATAAACCCAACTCTAAACCCATTTCTAAAGCTGCTGGTTTAAAATTCTTGTAGAGAATTTTTCATCTGAATATCATATTTTTAAAAGTGCAGTAAAAATAAAAGTTGGAACCAGATATGGTGGCTAGTGTTTATTTATAATGGCCATAGCCATTTACTGCTCCCACCATGCAGGGTTGAACTCAGGTCCTCAGGTTTGATGGCAAACATCTTTAACCTACCAAACCAACTCGCAGGCTCTTGCTTCTCCTCTCCTGCCCCCCTCCACGTAACAGAGTCCTGACTGTCCTAGAATTAGCTCTGTAGACCAAGCTGACCTGGAATTCACAGAGATCTGCCTGCCTCTGCCTCCCAAGTATTGGGATTAAAGACCTGCACCACCCCTGGCCCAACCTGGCTGTTCTTCCGGTTTATTGAGATAGGTTTCATATAGTCCCAGGCTGGTCTGGAACTCCACATGTAGTAGACAAGGGTGACGATGAACTCCTGGTCCTCCTTCCAGGAATACAGGCCTACACCACAACATCTAACCATCGCGTCATTGTTAATTTCATAAATAATCCTGAGATTATTTACGAAATCACTTTCAGAGGGGTCTGATTTAATTGGATACCCTCCTGCTGTTTTCGAAAATGATTTTACATTGCCTTTCATATCATTCTCCTTAGAGATTTTGATCACAAGGAATGAATTGTGACCTAACAAAGGCCTTTAAAATAAGTGAAAATGGGGGCTGAAGAGATGCCTCAGCAGTCAAGAGTGCTTCCTGATCTTCCAGAAGACCCAAATTCAATTCCAGTCACCCATATCGGAGGGTCACAAATGCCTGTCACTATAGTCCCAGGGCATCCAACACTCTTCTGGACAAAACAGCACCCATACACATGTAGCATATACTCACATAGGCATGCACACATGTACATAAGAATAAATCTTTTTTTTTTTTAAAAAAAACAATGGCCTTCTGGTTGTGGCTTGTGTCTATAGTCCCAGCATATGAGAATCTAAGACAAGAGTACTTCATGAGTTGGAGGTCAGCCTGGATTACAGTGTGAGTTAAGACCCTGTCTCAAATGAAAAAGTTATTTTTCCTTAGCATATTTACTATATATCGTGATAAGGCCGGGCGGTGGTGGCGCACGCCTTTAATCCCAGCACTTGGGAGGCAGAGCCAGGCGGATCTCTGTGAGTTCAAGTCCACCCTGGGCTACCAAGTGAGTTCCAGGAAAGGCGCAAAGCTACACAGAGAAACCCTGTCTCGAAAAACAAAACACAAAACAAAACTATATATCGTGATAAAATTCTTTAATTCTATGCTGTGTGTAATATATAGCTTTAAAGGAAAATAAATGTTGGTAAAATAGGACCTCTCTAAATCATACGATAAAAAAAATCTGCAAGAAAAATATCCACCAGTGTGCGCCCAGCACACATACACACCAAGATTCTGATGAGATCACAAAACCCATTATTGTCTCAGTTATCAGGGGTCAAAGTTCTTACTGTGATAGTTTCACAATAAAGGCATGCCGCCTTTACCGCCCATGGAGGAGGTAGCACCAGAAAAGTTCTTCCCTGTCACCCAACTTGACACAAATGGAAGGAATCAGCCTTCACTTCAAGCGACAGGAAAGACTAACATATGGCACATGAAGAAACTAGTGGGAGATTTACGATGTCACTTCAGGCAGAAAAGGAAGGTGATGTGTGCGTGGATTTAGCGGGTACGGACAGGAAGAGGAGAGTGGGGACAAAATGTTGACGTTCAACCCTGCACCACTAGCTGGCATACCGTTTAGGCTACCCTGCATTCCATGCAGTGTGCATGAAGAGCTAGAATTTCACCGCTGGGTGCAACTTCAAATTATGCCAACCACCTGCTGGCCAAGTGTTCCCCTCAAGGCTATCCCAAAAATTCCCAGTCACTCTTACACACACAACAGCTCTTCAAAAATGCAAAGCAGCTCTCTGGCTGCCTCTTAGAACTCCACAGATTAAATTCCTCATATTCCTCAACCTTTCCTTCCATTACAAGCGCCAAGCCTCCTCCCTCCCTTTCTAATCCAGTCTCTTCACCAGCTTGCCCCATTTCTCTGAACTGTGTCCCAGAATGGAATGCAGGCCAGTACTGAGCACCTGTGACGAGTGATGGAGCACAGAGGTGGGAAGGAGAGATGTTTTTAAAAAGTGATGGAGGACTCTGGTGGGAGCAAAAACAATATAAAAGCCATTAAAAACCAAGTTCTGTCATTTAGCTGTAAAATAAAAAGGGAAATACCCTTTCGCTGGAAGAGGTCAAGGAAGAATGAACTCAGGATAATCAAAGGCTTGTTGGCTGTGAAATTTACATATTCTGTTTTTTAATGAGTAATCATTAGAATATTTTATTAAAACATACTTGTCCACTCAGTAGTCATAATATCTAAGAAGGTAAAAGAAAACAGAAGATGACTGCTGTTTACGTATTACTTTTAGATTGTGTATGAAACAAGGCCTCAGAAATTTAAATTTGGTATAATTTAAGTTGATTGGTTAGATAATCCCCTGTATGATATGATAACCAACCTAAAGCAGCTTTTAGCAAAACACATAAGCAACACTGAGAATATCACGCAGCCGAGTCCTTGCCTAGCATTCTGAGGGCCTCCAGTTCAACCCCTAGTACCTCAAAGTAAATAAATAAAAATAAAATACATATACAAAAATGTTGTTATAATAGAACTGATATGTGAAAATGGATAAGT